CGGCACAGAATACACCCCACCCAGGCCGGGATCAGGGGAGCCCCAGTGATGGGGGCCGGGTAAGGGGGAGCCCCAGTGGATGGGGGCCGGGTAAGGGGGAGGAGAGGGAGATGCCCAGGCAAGATCGAGAAGGTGAGGAATCCCCGAAAAGTGAGCAGGTTCTTCAGCCCCCAGCACAGTTTGGGGCACCCAGTGCAGCCTTGGCATTTGTCGTTTGAAGTGACGGAGACATGGTGGGCGCCTGGGGGCAGGGCTCAAAGACTCTGGCGAGCTGGACAGGCAGCAGTAATGCCCAGTGGTGGGCGCTGTCCACCGGCCTGTGTTCCATTCTTCACCCCCCGACCCCCACCTGCACCCCAAACTCAACTCATCCTCACACTGTGCTGGCTTTGAGAGTGTCCAGCCCCAGGGCTGCCTTGTCCTGAGAGGCAGGGTCAAACCTACCTTCTCTTTCTCTAGATGTTTTCAAACTCCAGCATGTAAAATGCAAGTCTGATTGTTTTCCTCCGGCCTTTCCTCCCAAAGTGTCTGAGATTTGCACTCCCAACCTCCTCTCCAAGGTATAGGAGTGACATAGGCATCGAGGGCAGGGGCTGGGTCCTGAGAAGCCACCTGCACGGTGTCAGCACATCTGTATCAAACGAATGAGTGAGTGAGAGCGCGCATGAAAGAAATGAATGTCTTGAGAGTTCTGCAGGCAGGTTTTCACGTGCTCTCTCTCCCCTGGGAACAGAACAAACTGAAAAATGAACACACGACCTCGCCATATATTTTGTATGAAGTTTGGGTTGTTTCGTGGCACGGCAAGCAGGACATTGGAGGGGCTATGTTATTAAAGCCATTTCTGCGCACAGAGGCAGTGGAGTAAGGAGGGGCTGGTACTGGAGTTACGAATCCGCCCATTTGTGGTCAGGACCTTGGAGAGCTCAACTTGGGTTCCCATCGGACAAAGCTATTTACTGGGTCACAGTTTCCCACTAATTCACTCACGTGGGCATTCATCTGGTAAAGATGTGTCCAGTGCTTGGGCTATGCCAGGCGTTGTATTACGACAAAAACGGATGGGGGGAGGGGAGGTGGGCCTTGAGGGTTTACAGCCTTCGAGAGTATGTTTATACCACATCCTGGGTGTTTATCATGAGGTTTGATTTTATACTTTGGTATATTTTTTCCCTAAGCCCCCCACGGTCTCTAGTTTGAATTAACTCTCCC